TCACGAGCCGCAGTTTGCCGACCACTGGATTACACAATCTATATTTACCTAAATTATTGTGGTTCTAGCTCATTTAAGTGAAAATAATATTAATTTTAAATATTTACTTTAAAAATTATTTACTTGTAATAGCTGTATATAAACATGGTTCAGGTTGAAATCAAAGGAAAATAAAATTAAAAAGACTGACAACATTAACTGTTAAGTATATAAGAAAACTGGAACTCTCATAAAATAAAATTAAAAAGACTGACAACATTAACTGTTAAGTATATAAGAAAACTGGAACTCTCATACATTGCTTCTGGGAGTGCAAAATTGCACAAGCAATTTACTAGTAAAAGTTAAATGTACATCAACGCTATAATCAAGCAATTTTACTCTTAGATTTTTGTCTAAAATAAAAAAGATAGGACTCCCTAAAATCCTAGAATAGAGTCACAGAGATCTCAAAAATCAAGATGGGATCACCGTTTAAAACTTAGAGTTTACTGAGGTAATCTAAAAAAATTTGTCAAATTGCTATGCTGAAAAATAGATGGCTAGGACTCTAATTCTAACATTATTGTTTTAAGAAGACTTCTAAGAGGGCTGGGAAAGCTATGGCATGAAATCCTAAGTTCCTACAAAATAATGGAATAACAAAACATAATAGTAAGGTAGCAGCTAAATGGAGTTTATCCATAAATTAGAGGAAATTGGTACTGAATTTAAAATGAAAGCAGTAATATCAGCTATAGGTCAATTGCCAAAGAGCAGTGATCCAGAAAAGAGCTAAGGAACAAGAAATATTGAGATAAATCTTAGATAGGTAAACGAAAAACTGATGCTGGGGGAACAGACTTTATACATACTAATTTAGGTGCTCTAGATTAGAGCTGAGGTTGTGTTCTCTCTCTCCACCCCCATCCCAAACCAACGTCAAGCAAAGTAAGATATGTAAACTTTTCCATTGTCTTTTAAATGTATTTCAACATTTTTAAAATTAGAAAATTGCTTTAAAGGGTTTTTTTTTCCAAATATGATATTAAGGCTTTAGACTATAAACTACAGATTAGCATTCAAATATCAACTTAAAACATAAAATACATCATTCTATTCCCCTGGGGAGTTGTAGACAGAGAAGAAGTCAATGATTCCTGGCTGTAAACTCCACTTTCACTATAAGAGCTGATGTTTGGAGAGGAAGATCGAGATGGGGAGTCCATAGTCAAGTCGAGCTTCATTGCAGAATCAGGGCTTTCAAGATCTGAAGTACTGCCATTCAGTTTTGCTCTTTTCTTAGCTGCACTGTTACGAAGGGACCTAAGAGAGCTCTGCATCTAAGAAAAAATAAAAGCAATCAACTTTACAAAATAATTATATTACTAAAAGTTATCCTTAGATTTTAAAATCCATTAACTGTATCTATTTTTCCCCATTAACTATATCTAGCTAGCCACTCTTCTTTAATCCAGTAGTAACAAGATGGATGTTAACATATCTGCACATAGTATTTTTTTAATATATATTTATTGATTTCAGAGAGGAAGGGAAAGGGAAAGAGAGATAGAAATATCAATGATGAGAGAGAATCATTGATTGGCTGCGACCTGCACAACCCCCATCAGGGATTGAGCCCGCAACTGGGGCATGTGCCCTTGGCTGGAATCGAACCTGGGACTCTTCAGTCTGCAGGCCGATGCTCCATCCGCTGAGCCAAACCAGCCAGGGCTGCACATAGTATAAATATAGATTTCATCACTTAGGTATTTATAAATAACCCACTATTTTATAAACCCTGTAAGAGAAGGATCTTATTATTTACCATGGTATTTCCAGCACTGGGCACAAAGATTAATAAATGAATCACTGAATTAGATGGTGGACAGTGGAGTGGGTTAAAGTCACAGAGATCCAGCTAATCTTAACTGTGTGCTTATGTGACTATTTAGATGTTCTATGAGATTAGCAAAAAGTAATCCATTTTTTAAAATTTAAAGTTCACATCCAGCCTGCCAGTGTTAGAATTCAGAAAATAATAGATCATTTTATTTAACTTCTGAAGCCAAGTATTTCTAGAAATGCAGAGTAGAAATCATTATCTGAAACTAATACATTAAGGTTGGGAATAGAAATCTGAACAAATTAAGGAACACAGAAATATACATAACTGTGCTTTGTTTATATTTTGATTATAACAATTATAATGGTTGATTCAATAGGATGCCACTTCCTTAGTAAATCTTTGAAAGATTGAATATCTAAAAAGAGTACTATCCTCTTACATTTACTAATAATTATATTTTAAAAATTACCCTTTCAATTATCCACTGAAAGAAAAAGGCCTATTTTAAGTTACTGTAAAATCAATACAAAATGTATAATCAGATGAAATTTATAAATTATGTAGGTAAATGCCTTTTCTATAAGTTTGTTTTCTTAAATAAATCCCCTTCCAAGTACCACTGAAATAAAAAAAACCAGGAAAGATTTTTACAAGTAGTTAGAATTTGGAATGACTAACTCATTAAGAACCAATTTTGGCACTTTATTAGTTTTACACATGCTTAATGCTAAAGAAATGCTTTGAAAATAAGTATGCATCAATATTTATTTAATTGAGCAAGTGATCTGTGCATGATGCTTACAGCTTTAAAATCAGCTAAAAAAGACCCCATAATATCAACATCTAGTGTTTCAGTTTACATATTTAATGTAAAACACTTTTTAAACCTAAAGTCAGGCAAACAAATGATAAAAAGAAAGCATTTATAAAAGCTGTGCTCTGAATCCAAAGTAATATAACAGCCACATTCTTTATCTGGCATATTAATATGTACAGAGTTATCATTTTGACAATACATTTGTATAATTTAAATGGAATAACCTAGCATTCAAAGATGAGTATCCAATATGATCTTAATTTCATAAAGATAAGTAATGGCCCTGGCTGGTTTGGCTCAGTGGATGGAGTGTCGGTCTGCGGACTCAAGGGTCCCAGGTTCGATTCCAGTCAAGGGCATGTACCTTGGTTGTGGGCACATCCCCAGTGGGGAGTGTGCAAGAGGCAGCTGATTGATGTTTCTCTCTCATCGAAGTTTCTGATTCTCTACTCCTCTCCCTTCCTCTCTGTAAAAATCAATAAAATATATTTTAAAAAAAAGATAAGTAATGATGCACATATATGGACAAGGGACATGCTCAAGAATGGAGAGGAAACTATATTATGTTTCATTTATTTAAAAATGAAAACAAATATGACAAATTGTTCATTTGGGAGGGGTTAGTGCAAGAGTATATTGCTATATTATTCTTATTTTTAATTTAAAAAGTAATAATATATGCATAGAAGGAATACTTAAAGGAAAACACATTAGTGTTAACAGTTAATTATTCTGGGCATTAGGATTTGGTGTGATGAATTTTCTTCCTAGTACTTCACTAAAATTTCTACGTTTTCTATAATGAACATGAAATATTTTTATAAGCAAGAAAACATGTTATGGGATTAAAAACTACTTGATTTTTCCTTAGATAAAACTATTATATTATAGAAAATCACAAACATTTAAAAATTAAAAATGGTATTTGGTTCTAACCTCTTCTTGATCCAAATCTTTGTCCTTGATATTTAATTCTGAAAGATCAATTTTAACACTATCATTTTCACTTTTCCAAATATCATTAGGCTCTTTCTTTTTGGGTCCCACTGTGCTTAAATCGGTTTTATCAGGCAAAAGGCTGATTCCCCTTGGTATGGGAGGAACAGGCTTGGTCCCATTCAGGCCTCGTCGGGAAGATGATCTCACCAAGGCAGGTGTGAGTTGAACTGGAGGTTTTTCTTGAGAATTTTCCCCTGCATGAAAAATGCATATTTTACTTTTAAAAAAAATGTTCAGAGAAGTGGAAGTTTAAATCACAAATGCCTGGAATACAGTGTTTTAAAATTAAAAAGCACAATATCTTTTATTAGAAATAGATTACTACTTAAAATGAGATAAAAGTATCATTGTCTCCTAAACAAATATAACAAAAATGAGCCACTTCACCCAGCTGGTGTAGCTCAGTGGTTGAGCGTCAACACATAAACCAGGAGGTCACTGTTTGATTCTTGGTCAGAGCACATGCCCAGATTTCAGGCTCAATCCCTAGTAGGGAGTGTTCAGGAGGCAGCCGATCAATGATCTTTCAGTCATCATTGATGTTTTTATCTCTTTCCTCCCTTTCTCTCTCTGAAATCAATAAAAACATATTTTAAAAAATTATAAAAAAAGGAGCCAACAGATATATTTAAACATGATTTGTTTATAAAAATAAAAATATGACATACCAAGTTAAATTTCTATCTTCATATACATCACCATGGCCAGTATTTGTATAGTAAAGTCCATAATAAGGCAGAAGAGCTACTTTTTTTGTTTGATTTAATTACATAAGCAACATTTGAAGGACTACCATATGCAAAACAGAAATACTGGTCACTGGAGAGAACAAGTTGAATAATGCCTCAGCTTTCAATAATATTTGATCTTGTAGGAAAGACAAATTCAGAAAGAAATTAATACAAGGAAATGAAGGTTTAGTGCTAACAGAAAGTGATAAAATTCACTATAAGTTAAAGTGACCTTATATTTATAAACTGGAACATTAGCATTGTGGGATAGTTTAAAGGTGAAATATCTTACCTCAGGCGCTGCGGATAGGAAAGCCTGTGGGATAAGGGGGTTGCCTTTAACAGACATTTTATTTTGAGACTGAATCTGTCTTGAATAAACTTATATGCTAATTTCATAACTAAAAGAATATTTTAATTCTCATCTGAGGACATGTTTAGACAGAGGAAGGGGGAAAGAGAGAGAGAAACATGGATGTGAGAGAAAAACACTCATCAGCTGCCTTCAGTATGTACCCCAACTGGGGATCAAACCAGCAACCCAGGTATATGTCCTAACCGGTAATCAATCGGCAACCTTTTGATGCATAGGATGATGCTCAACCAACTGAGCCATTCTGGCCAGGCAAGAAAAAAATATTTTGTTAAAAATAAATAGAAAACCCATTAAAATAATTTTAACATATCCTATATAATAAAAGGCTAATATGCAAATTGACTGAATGGCAGAACGACTGGTTGCTATGATGCTCACTGACCACCAGGGGGCAGATGCTCAATGCAGGAGCTTCCCCCTGGTGGTCAGTGCACTCCCACAGGGGGAGCACTGCTCAGCCAGGAGCTGGGCTCAAGGCTGGCAAGTGCAGTGGCAGTGGCAGGAGCCTCTTCTGACTCCACAGCAGCATTAAGGATGTCTGACTTACGGCTTAGCTAAGCCATCAGTTGGAAATCCCCTGAGCGCTCCTGAACTGCGAGAAGGAGCAGGCTGGGCTGAGGGACTCCCCCTCCCCCTCTCCAGTGCACGAATCTCATGCACTGGGCCTCTAGTATTAAATATTCAATAAATGTTGAATGATGAATAGATATTATAGTAAACATGAATGACATTATGAATGACATTTTATATTTGTAAAGCTAAAATTTTTAGTAGCTTCTCAGGCTGTTCATGTTCATGTCCATTATAAAGCATTATTGTTTACCTAGTTCTGAAAAGGATTTTGAAGTGGCAATAGAAGAAAAAAGCAATTCACAATTTCAACTGAATTTTATATTACACATTTGATCTAATTAACATATGGTTATTTTCTTAAATATTTACTAATGCACAGAAAAATGTAATTTACAAGCTTTTAAAGATCTAACAACATAATTTTAAAATATAATCAAACATGCAAATGAATTTGAAAAAATATTAATTTTTACCATCATTTCTTCCTGTTGAGCCAGATGATTTTTGGCTGACAAGCTTTTTTTGAGGACTTGGCTTTGATAGTCCTTCAAAGCTTTTAAGAGGCCAGGAATTTGAGAAATTAACAGAATTATCTTGAGACTTCTTTGGAGACACAGTAAGAGATGTGTGTTTTGGGCTAGTTCGAGATGAGAGAGGATAGGATGGAAGGATGAAGGCTCCTGGGCTTGGATTTGGACCAGAGTATGATGAAATACATTCTGTTTGGTTACCAAATGTTGGCTGTGTCTTACTGCCAAAATTTAGGCTAGCATACACTATAATAAAACAAAAAAAAATGTTATTCCCACTAAACTTTGAAACCAATGAAATAAACAAAAAATAAATAAAAGAGAGAATATGATATATATATATATACACACACACACAGACATACATACCTTCTAAGAGTTTTAAGATTTAAGATTTTTGCTTTTCACATTAAGGTTTTTATTCCATCTGGCATTTACATTTTTGTACAGTGTGAGGTAAAGATCTAATTAACATTTTTTTATATAGATAATGCAATTTTTCCAGTGCCACTTTTTGAGCTATCCATTCTTTCCCTTTTATCTACACATCTATATATTATTTGAGTCTATTCTTAGATGCTTCTTATTGGTTCCATTAATCTATTTATGTGTACCTATTACAATATATTATTTGTAATCGAGTTGATAGGATAAATTCCCTTCCATTTTGGTCTACTTTAGAATTATCTAGGCCAGGGGTGGGCAACCCCTGGCACACGTGCCAAACATGGCACGCCAGTAACTTTTTTTTTTAAAATATATTTTATTGATTTCTTACAGAGAGGGAGAGGGATAGAGAGTTAGAAACATCGATCAGCTGCCTCCTGCACACTCCCTACTGGGTATGTGCCTGCAACCAAGGTACATGCCATTGAACCTGGGACCCTCGAGTTCGTAGGCCGACGCTCTATCCATTGAGTCAAATCGGTTAGGGCACGCCAGTAACTTTTGCTGGCACTCAAAACCCTCTCTTATAATCTTCCATTTACAATTTTTGTGAACATTTGAATGACTTAAATGTTAAATTACAAGGAACTGGCAAGACACTTGATGTTATGTTTGGTTACATAAAGGCTTTTGAAAAGAAACTGGAAGTCTTTAAGAGGGATGTGGATGGTGAGAGATTTAGATATTTCCCAAATCTCAAGAGGCACATGGAAGACCTCCCAAAAGATGACAGAACAGACTGTCAAAGCCTTCAAAAGCTGTTTTTAAACATCATCGAGTCACTATTGAGCAGTTCTCAAGATTTGCGAAATTCAGAGAACTGGAAGAGACAGCAAAATTCATGAGGTTTCCAGACAGCATGAAACTGGAGGAACTAAACTTACAAATGTTTTCATGGATAGACATGGCTGACTTTGAAATGCAGTTGATTGAATTTCAGAGTAGCTCAATTTGGAAGCAGAAATTTATTGACCTTAGAGTTGACTTGGAAAACATTGAAAAAAAGTGATTAGAGACTGGAGTACCAGAGAGAAGTGTCGAAAACAAACTATTGAGGACTTGGAATGCCATTCCAGAAAATTTTTTCTGTTTAAAAAACTTTGCAACAGCGTTACTCTCCATGTTTTCATCCACATATGCTTGTGAATCTTTGTTCTCAGTGATGAATTTTGTTAAGTTTCTTAATAGGAGTAGCCTGACGGATGAAAGTAGTAGCTCGTGCATATCTCTGAAGGTCACGAAATAGAAACCTGATGGAAAATCTCTGTCATCAGTAATGCAGCAGCAAAAGTCCCACTGATAATATCAAACGGAGTCATAAAGTTTTCTGTCGGACTATCAGTGTACATGTATACATTAAAAATTAAATGTATTTTTCATCATCATATACTGTGTTTTTGTCACTCGAATGAATTTTATTATTTCTTCAAGGTTCTTCACATATGTACACCTTAAGAGATATCAAGTAGGCGTAACATGTTCTCAAAAAATTAGGGTTGGCATGCAGAAGAATTTTGAGTCAGAGATTTTGCTGGTTTTGGCACACACTCACAAAAAGGTTGCCCACCCCTGGCCTAGGCCATTCTTGACCCTCCATTCTGTCATATGAATTTCAGGATCAGCTTGTCAGTCTCCATAAAAGATTCTGTTGGGACTTTGGTTGAAATGACATTTAATTTACAGATTAATCTGGGAATAAGTGTCATTTTCCTGATATTGAGTCTCCCTGTTTAAAAATATAGGATCTTTTAGCCTTGGCCATGTAACTCAGTTGGTTATAGGATTGTCCTGAACACCAAAAGGCTGTGTTGATAGGAGGAAACCAATCAATGTATCTCTATCACATTGATGTTTCTCTCTCTCTCTAAAAAAAAAATCAGTAAGAATATATCCTTGGGTGAGGATTAAAAAATACATATTTATTTATTTACATAAATTTATTTACATGTATTAATTAATATATTTATGTAAATAAATAAATATACCTATTTATATATGGGATCTTAGTTTATTCAGATTTTCTTTCACGTCTCTCAAAAAAGTATTTTAGCTATTAAAATAAAGGACATGCAAATCTTTGTTAGATATCCATATATTTACAAATATTGTTCATGCTATAATTTCTTAAAAACTACATTTTTCTAAAAGTTGCTGGTATTCAGGAACTTTATTTAGCTTAACATTCTAGTATTATACCTGGCAAACTTGTTAAGTTATTTAATATTTTAATAGTTTTCTGTATATCCTTTTGAATAGTCTATGTAATCTAATAATGATTATAATAATAATGGTGACTATAATGATAATAATGATGAGCTAATGTTTATTGAGCTCTTACTATATGCCATGTGGTATTCTAAACACTTTCCATGTATTAACTAATTTAATCCTTACAACAATCCTGTGGGAATAGGTATTATTCTTATTTTACAGATTAAAAAAATGTACAAAGGGGATAATAAGTAAATAACTAAAGGTCATACATTAGGAAATTATAAAACTGAGATATTAACCCAGGCATTCTGGCTCCCAAGCTTGTGCTCTAAACCATTACACTGTACCATGTATTACCTGTAACAATGCCAATTTTTGTTTCTTCCTCTTCAAATTTTATATTTTTAATTTTGAGCTAGGTATTCCCTAGATAGATATTATAACGACTCCCAAATTTTTAGGACTGATTTTCCCTTACACTCCAGACTCAGCATCAAAATGCCACTCGACATCGCTGAAGAGACAGATGTCCCAAACATTACATATCTATAACAAAAACTCTTGATTTCCCAGTCAAATCTGTTTCTCCTCATCTTCCTCCTCTTGGTAAATAGTAGCTCTACTTCAAGTTGCTTAGACCAACAGTGTTGGACTCATCCTTGACTCTTCTCTTCAACTTCAGATTTAATCCATTAACAAATCTCATTGGCTCCAAATTAGTGATACAGAATGATCACTAAATCTGGAAACTTGAGTGAATACAGAATAAATGGCTTGTTCATATTATATTACTATATATGTAAAATAAAATTACTAATGTTTCTAAACTTTACAACCATGCTGGATATCAGAATCTAACAATTTTTCATCACTTTCATTGCTTCCTCTAAAACAAGCCATATCATCATCTCTTACCTTTACTATTGCCATCACTTCCTAACTCATTTGCTTTGTATCCGCCCCCACTCCTGCCAAGGCTAGTCTCTACACAGCAGCTCTGATCCTTTAAAAAGGAAGTCAAATAATGCGATTTCTCTTCTCAAAAACCTCCAATGACTTCCCAACCCACTCAGAATATAATCCCAAATCCTTACCATGCCCTACAAGGCCAAATGTTATCACCTATAATTATTCTCCCCACTGATCATTCCACTGAGTTCCTTGCTATTTATTCCTCCAACAAGGCCAAATATGACCCTACTTCATAGCATTTGTACTTAGTTGTTCTCTCTGACTGGAATGTTCTTTCTCCAAATATCTATGTGGTTCACAGCTTCACTTCATTTAAGTTTGTTTAAATGTTATCACTTCAGAGAGGCCTTTCCTGTCACATTCTATGCCCTCATGCTGTCTTATTTTTCTTCTTAGCACTTACTTTCATTCTTATTATCTTCTCCTCTACTAGATTTTGATCTTTAGATCCTAGAACAGTGTCTGGTCTCAATAAATATTAAAGGAATTAATAATAAATGCTCACTAGCAGTAGTTAACTGAGCATTTGGGTCTGTTCTTGACTTTAAAGTCAATTCTAATATTTTACCACTAAGTATATTTGCTATTGGTATTAACAGGTATCTGTTCAGGTTAAGAAAATTATTCTTAGTTATGGGTTTGTAAGTATGCATGGATGTTGATTTTTCATCAATTGCTTTTACTGCATCTATTGACACAATTATATAGTTTTTCTCCTGTTATATGTGATAAGGTTCAATTACAGGTTTTTCTGAAAACATCTACTTAGGCATAATATGTAACATACAAATTTTAAAAACACATCGACAGCCAATATGTAGATCTGGTTTGCTAGCACTTTATTTAGGACTTTAACTTTCATAAAAGTGAAACTGGATCACCATTTATTTTGCTTTATTCATTGACCTTACCTGGTCATGGTATTAAGGTTATATTTATTTCATAAAATGAATTAGGGAGCCTTCTTTCTTCCTTAATTCTTTTAGTTTGTCTAAGATAGGGTTTACCTCTGCCTTGAAGGTTTCACAGAATACAAGGAAAACCATCAGTGCCTGGGATATTTTGTTTCTGTGGTTACAATTTTAAATAAAAATTCCTTTAATGATTATACATCTGTTCAGTTTTTATATTTCTGAGATAACTGTGACAAAGTTATTGTGTTGTTCAAATATTATGTATCATCTAATTCCAAAATTCTTTATCCTATTCAAATTTTCTACTAACATTTGTAGATTTAATTTTTTTCCTTGTAATTTTGTCAAATTACATATGTAGACACTCACACATACATGTAACACACACACACTTTTTCAAAAGTCTTATCTGCTTAGTGAACTATTCTTTTTTCATTATAATGATCCTCTTTAGCCCTAAAAGTGTTTTTAGCTTTAGTGTGTATATTTTCCTTAATATCAATATTTTTATACTTGCTTTGAGTATTTGTCTAGTGTAGTAGTTACTTCCTTATCACGGGGGATAGGTTCCAAGACCCCCAGTGGATGCTTGAAACCCTGGATATTATCAAACACTATATATACTATGTTTTTCCTGTACATAGTATCTAGAATATAGTTTAATTTATAAATTAGGCAGAGTAAGAAATTAACAATAAC